ACTATAAGTAATGAATAAAGTGAATAAGAAACCATCCAAACTGTGTCTTTTAATTAGTGGACAATCAAAATTAACAAAGTGTGTCCACCAAAGCTATGCCATTTTTAACCACAAAAGTCTTTGCTACACGTAAGGTGCAACAGTGACTCCAAACCCTTATCTTTCACGGTGCTAACTGTGAAAAATTTTAATCGATTTGTTTTATTATTTAGGCCTTCCAAGCAATTTCTCTGACAAATCTCTTCAATATGTGTTGTGTGAGGGGTGTTTGCGGTTCGGTTATAGTTGGGAAACCTGACAGATTAAAAAAAATAAATTTACATCCATTCGTCAGATTGGTGGATGCAGATTGACGGATGGATACTAATTAGCTTGGCGATTTAAAATTTTACAAATTTTGAATATAATACAATAACTTATCAATATTTTTTTTGGATAACAATCCAACTTAACATAATCAAAAGATTATCAAGTAAATTGTCAAATACCAATAATAAATACATATAAGAAAACTATTTTCATTACTGTTTTTTTATGCAAAAACTATTTAATTTGATTTTTTTAAAAATAACAAAATTAAGCCTTATATTTTTTATACAGAAATATCAAATATCAACACTTGCCATTTAATAAAAGGATTTCCAAATTGAAAACACAATAGAATATCTAAACTCTTTTTCAATTGAAAACATCTAAACAAATTAAAAACACAAAGTGTTATAAATTACTTGAGGTGCTTGCGGTTTGACAGTTCGGTTGCGGCCAAAGAAACTTCAAATTCGCCATCCATCCAAAACTAGGCAAATTGGAAAAAAATCAATCCGCAACGCCCACTCGTCATCACGCATTTGTCCAAAATGTGACGGATTGGTTCGGTTTGGTTGGTTTAGGCGGATCAAAATATCCGCTGAACACCCCTAGTGAGTATGATAAGGTTAAAATTTGTGGGAAGAAAAATCATTCAATAAGAATGTTTGTATTTACAAATGAAGAAATTTTGAGGGTTTGGGAGTTTTGTTTAGGTAATTTTTAACAATTTTGAGGGTTTTGGAGTGTTTAGGGTTCTTCTATATTTTTAATCAAATATTGTTATTTATCGGATTGTTAAATATTATTACTTATTAGATTCAAAATATAGGGATTTTGGTTGGATTTTGTTGAATTATTTATTTAGGATTTATTATATATTTTAATTTTGCAAATATATATATACACAAAATTTTAATTAGAATTTTTTTGGGGTGATTTTTAATGAAATTTTGCTGGTGATTTTTTACTGAAATTTGTTGAATTATTCATTCATCTAATGCTTAATTGGATATCGTACAATATTACAACAGATATGTATGAAATTAAATGTTAATTTTTTACTGTTATAATCACGGCTTCGTTCCTTTACTTTGATTTAGTCATCAACAACTGAGGCAAAGTGGGCAGAGAGATAGTTTGAAGGGAAAGAAATAAAGTTTATTGGGAATTTAGGGGGAAATGGTTACAGGAGTTGGTGGGTTATTTTGTAAGGGATGTGAAAGGTATTTTGGCCATTAAGTGTTTATTTTTTATGATGTCACTATGGCGGTGTTTGGTAAGTTGGTTTTTGAGTTTTTTTTTTTGATTTTTTTCACTATAAGACAAATGTTTTATAAAACCAAAAAAAATCAATCCAAACAAAATATCACATCAAACCCCATAATCATTTCACTTTTTCTCTCACAAACATCACATCAAACTATAAAAAAACTCAACTATTTTCCCAAACACAAAAAAAAAAAATCAATAATATCCTACAACTAAAAAAACTTACAAAAAAACTCACTTCCCAAACACCCACTATATTTGGTTACTTTTGCAATGTCCTTCTAGGGGGAATCATGGTATTATTTTGTAAAACAAGGGAAGTCAATGTAATTGTTGAAACTATAAGGGAGATATTTGTAATTATTATAAACCTCAGGGGAGGTAAGTGTAATTTATTCAAAATATCCCAACAGGCGAGACAAAGAGTTGCAACTATGGGCTCATTGAAGAATGGGCCTTTTATTTTTTTTTTAGAGAAACATTACAGAATGGGCCTTCATATGCTCAAAGTGGACAACTAAGCAATAAAAGATATTTGGTCAAAATCCACTCATAATAAAATTTTAATACATTAAAAATAAGCATAAAAAGTTTTTCTTAAAAAGTTTAGCACACACTACTATTACCAAAATATCCTTAGTGATTAATTAATTTTTTAAATTTTAAAATGATATAACTTTTGATCTAAATGTCGGTTTTTAATAAAACTAGTATTTTTAAATCCTCAAAGATCTATCAAATAAGATTCAGATAGACTATGAAATTCTTAAAAAATAAAAAATAAAAAAATACCGACAATATTGACATAAACAATAACATGTTACTATGTTTGACAACAACATATTATTCTGGTTGATAGTAACATTTTACTATCTGTTCTGAATAGAACATCAATAACAAAACAGAATACAACCCTCCCTACATATGAACTCACACTACTTCTAGAAATTAAAACCCATATATACTCGTAGAATACTCAATCGCAGATTCAAAAACCCTCTTTGTGTGGTAATCGAAAATGACACATAAGTGGGCACATCATAGAATATCAATTTACATAGTCAATTTATACAATAAAGTTTGCATCTCTTTTTCTCCAACCACCGTTAATGTCTATGAGAAATCTGGAAATGATAATAAATTCAGAGTGATGAGGGATCCTATTGAGGGCTTTAGCGGACCGCGTCGCCACGAACGATGAACAGTGGATGGCTCCGATATAGGTCTTTCGGAATAGCTGTTTCTGTGTTCTTCTTTCTCTCCTCAATCGTCATCTTCTCCTTTTTCTCTCTCTTCGTTAATCTGTTTTGCATTTTTTAGAGAGAAAGAGAGATCGATGAAGAAGTTTCAACTTCTCAAATATATATATATATATATATATATGATAGGGCAAAATTGTCCAAACAAATATGGAAACATATTTGTCTGTCCTTCATGAAAAACATGCTTTTTGCTCAGGGAGTTTAGGAAATAAAACATTTTGAGCTGTTCTTTACACACTAACATGTTAGGCCTAGGGGGTTTTGCCTAAGTTTTCCAGTAATAAATGTAGTATCCTTAACAAGTGTTGGGGTAGTTTTGGAATCCGTATGACAGCTTGATTTTTGGGGTCAAAAAAATTTAATGAGGACTTAATTTAAAGGGTTTGGCTTCTCTCAAGTTATTATCTCAATTTGAGAAAACGTTTAGGCTTGGTAGACCCATTTTAGAATCGATTCTGATGATCCAAACTGTTCACTTTTTTGGATTTATTGAGTAAAATATTTATGCAAAAAATCAAAATGATTGAATATCGGTAGTTATATATTTGAATCATATTTGTTTTAAAAAATGAACAATAAATATAATTTCAAAAATGACCATCCATTTTTTGTAATATAAATTCGATTCAAATATATAGCTACTGATATCCTAATCATTTTAATTTTTTTCATGAATATTCTACTTAGTGAGACCTAAAAAATAAACAGTTCGAATTATCAAAACGAAACTTATGGTGAGCTCCATGGATCGCTCAAGTTCCCTAATGTTAAGATCCCAATATGAGAGAAAGCTTAATCCTAAAATAACCCTTGCAAAGGGAACTCCTCACCAAATGTCTTTTAATTAAATGGAGAGTTTCAATTATTTTGATTTTAATTTATCAAAATCAATCTATGTCCAACTCTCAATATCAAATCCAAAAATGTATTTTTATTTGTATAGGGCCTTAATTACTTTGATTTTAATTTACTAAAACTTAGTTGTTGCTTTTTAATTTTTTGTTTTGTTTTGTTTTTTAAACCCAGACTAAAACTTAGCTCAATCTTTAATTCCAAATCCAAGAATAAGACTTTTTATTATTATTGGAGAGCCCAAACTTTTGCGAACCCAATTCACCAAATTTCTGCGAACCCAATTCATTATTCTGAGATTGAACGTCTTTAGGTCTTGGGGAAAGGATATGCAAACTTGTGTAAATTTTTACAAAAGTACATAAGTTACCTTACAAAATCGTGTAATTTAAATATAAATTTACATATAAAAATTTGAGAAATTATAACCTGACATAAGTTTTTATAAATATACGCAAATCATTTTACAAAATCGCATAACTTAACCCATAAAATGTATCGTAAGTTCTCACAAAAGTGTGTAAGTTAAGTCACAAAAATACATAAATAAATGGCATATTAAGCCTCGTTTGGGAACATGCTTTATTAGTAACTTTTTGACTTTTTAGCTAAATTATGATGTAAAAAAAAATTAGTATATTTGGGATGACTTTTTAATTTTTTACGAAAAATATGCAAAAAGTAGAGAGAAAATAGAATCTTAACTTTTTGGTATAAGTTATTAGTTTTTTTATTTTTTTAATGACTTTTTGATTAAAATCACCGCTTGCTAAACTTGGCCTTAATATTATATGCCTTACACACTCGAGAATTGTCCTAGGTTCTTGATACTCTTGCTGTATACTCTTTCTGTATTAGTTTTACTAGAAATGTTTATTAATTTTACATGAAAATTGAAATCTTTAGAGTTTGAATGGATTGATTGTTATTTATTGAATTGCACATCGGATTTGTTTTAATCATCTTTTCTTTAAGGCATTTATATAGATATGAAGAATTAATTAATCTCAAGTAAGAGTTTTTAATTTAATTTTGTAACTAAAAATGCAATAAAAGTAATGTTTAAGTGATGTGTGTAAGTCTACAATCTTAGAAAAGTGTTTTTTTTTTATTTTTATGGTGGAGATTGAATTAATATAGTGTGCCATCCAACTATAAATGAATTTAAAAGATAAATTGATGTTTCAAGATAAAATTCAGAATAAAATTTCTAGATTCATAGTATTAAGTGATTTTGTGATGTACCATAACCAATAGAAAATCAGTCACTTGTGGTTGATTGAAATTGTACCATCAAGCACCAACAAATCAAAATCAATTGGCAAATTGGCCCATATCATTAGGAGAAAATTCTAACACCCACATAGTATGCTGATACAACAAAACTGATAGAACTTGTTTAAATTATTTCAGAACCAAAAGTTCGCCTATCTCACTGGGCTCTGAAACAATAACAACAATAATAACCAACCAAGAAATCATGTCGGGTCGGATTCTAACACAGATGGTGCTGGGAGTTGAACCATGGCACTATCTTTGTTGACCCGGTTTTATCTGTCAAAAAAAGAACAAGAAACTAGTCCCCAATGTGGGGAAAAAAAAGAACACACAATTTCATATACTAATAGCAGAAAACCTCAGTGATTGATGTCACAGTGCATACTAAAATAATCCAATCTTGGGTTGTAGTAGTTTCTGTCTCTATTTACTGATGCTACTAACATACAGGAAGATCTGCTGGAGGAGCCTCTAGTGATTGCAATTCCCCAACTCCATTCTCCACCAGGAAAGCCATGGCCAAACCCCAAGTTATGTGCACATCCAAGTGACAGTGCAGTAACCAAACCCCTGTTTTTGCGCAACAAATGAGTAAAATTTAAAATGGGAAACCATTGACAAGTATAAGAAATACTAAAATACTACGTACTCATAAAAAATATCTAAATAGTACTCATAATTTGAATTTATCATGCAAGTTTGAACTTGATATAGTGTGTTGTAATGAATATTTTTTTCTGAAGAGCATTGCCAATAAATTGCCTTGAATTTGAGTCTATAAATTTAAACTTGGTATGTAGGTCATTCTAGAATGAAGTTGAAAAGTAGCAAATTTAAAAGTGAAATGATGTGATAATACTCGTAATGAATCTGATTTATACATTTAAAGTTATGATTATTTTTCGTGTACTTTTTTTCTAGATTTATAGCATTCTCGAAAAGCAACCTTAATTTTAATTTATTGTACCCCAAATAAATTTGATGTACACATTTTGAATTATAGATAATTTTCTAATTATTTTTTATGTAAAATTACTAATTAATAAATTGTTCGTGAAGTGTTTTCAGAAAAAAAAAAAAAATTAAAAATTAAAAAAACTTATCAATTTTATATAATTTTATCTTCTAAAACTTCCCAAACGGTGCCTAAAATACTACGTACTCATAAAAAATATCTAAATAGTACTCATAATTTGAATTTATCATGCAAATTTGAACTTGGTATAGTGTGTTGTAATGAATATTTTTTGTGAATATTTTTTTCTGAAGAGCATTGCCTTGAATTTGAGTCTATAATTTAAACTTGGTATGTCGGTCAATCTAAAATGAAGTTCAAAAGTAGTACATTTAAAAGTGAAATGATGTGATAATACTCGTAATGAATCTGATTTATATATACATTTAAATTTATGATTATTTTTCAAGTATTTTTTTTCTAGATTTATAGCATTCTCAAAAAATAACCTTAATTTTAATTTATTGTACCCCGAATAAATTTGATGTACACATTTTGAATTATAGATAATTTTCTAATTATTTTTTATGTAAAATTACTAATTAATAAATTGTTCGTGAAGTGTTTTCAGAAAAAATTAAAAATTAAAAATTAAAAAAACTTATCAATTTTATATAATTTTATCTTCTAAAAAGACAGAAATAATTTCAGAAAATTGAAGCAGATATCTTGTTGTTTACCTGGATTATCAGCAACAAATCGAACGACAGCCCATCCACCAACAGGAACACTAACGGTATTCCTCATCGGCGGATCAACAAGGTTAAATTTGGCAGTATCCTTTTTGGGATTAAAATTCCCAAACCCTTCCGCAACAATAAAGAAATCATACCCATGAAGATGAATCGGATGATTCTCAGTAGTAAAAATACTCGTCCCCTGAAAAACCACCTGAACTCTCGCCCCATATTTCAACTTATAAACCTTCGTCGCCTTCACAGGTTGCCACAAACCCCGACTCACATTCCCCGTATAATCAAATTTCACTGGCGGCGCCGCCGGAAAATCGGCCGTAAAAACCCCCGGAATCCCCTGCTGATGCGCCTGCAACAACGAAAAGTTGGAAGGAAGCACAAAAGACACGTTGTTCATGCTGGCGGCGAACCGGGTTCCATTCGGGCCCTGACAGTTCCTAGCCCGGGAACCCTTCGGGCATTTCATGAGCCCGAGCCCGACTGTCAAAAACAGGCTTTCATCGATGTCGGCAGGGACGGGGGCTTTCATGGGGTATCTGAGGCTGGTGGTGAAGGCGGTGGCGGTGCGGGTGTCATTGAAGGCGGGCAAGGAGGCGTTGATGGGCTTGATTTGGGTGCAATTGGAGGAACATGAGGCGGCTTTGTATTCAAGAATGGCGGTGGTGGTGGTGTTGTCGAAGGGTGCGTTTTGGGCGCTGGCGTAGGCACGGGCGGTAATGTAGTAGCGGGAGGGTGGTTGGTTGGTGGTGATTAGGACGTCGGTGGTTTGGCCCGGACCGAGCATGATGACTGAGGTGGTGAAGGGTTTGAGGTAGGCAGCATCGGCGCCGACCACGGTCAGCTTGTGGTTGGCAATGGTGAAGAAGAGTTGTTGGTTTAGGGCGGAGTTGATGACTCGAATGAGGTTGGTTTCGCCGGAGTCTACCGGAACTATTACTGTGCCTGCATTGTCATCATGATAACGATAGTTGTATTATTACTTTGTGTCATTTTCTTTGCATCCGTCATGACTGTACCAAAAAAAAAAAAAAAAAAAATTCTAGCTCCTTCTCAGACTAAAAATAGATTGGATGGTACTATCGGGTCGCATTTGGTTTAATTTTGGATATTTTTTTGATAATTTAAATTATTTAATGTATAAAATTTGTTTAATATATTATTTTTATAAAAAAAAAACTCACGAATCAAATATCAATATTTGATCAATATAATTTTTCATAAAAAAAAATATATTTAACGAATTCTAAATATTAAATAATTTAATCGAGCTCTCACGATAACTCAACAATACCGTTCAGGCTGCTTTTAGATTGGAAAAAAGCTGTGGCGTTTAAAAAGCATAAAGAAAAAGAAAATTGCATTAATGTTTGGTTGGATTCTATGTTGGGACACTCATTGTTTGGCTGTTTGTTGGGCCATCATCCTCGTCATTTGCGCGTTGTGGTTGTTTTGTCGTGACGTGGTCTAAGGTCTATCTTTGTGATTATGATATTTAGGACTAATTCTTTTTGATTTTTTGTTTTTTTATTCTTTTTTTTTTTTGGCGCAAAATTGTTTTATGCGCTGATTTCTCAAACCTTGTCCCCCTATCTCTCTTTGGGGTTTCAGCACAACTATCTTAGCCTCCGTTTGAGAAGTGGGTTGGCTTTTTGGTTTTTTGATTTTTTTGGCTATTTTAGTCTGGGCTAAAAAGTTTGGTTTAGAAGGGCTTTTTGACTTTTTGACTTTTTTGATTTTTTTTGTGAGAGAAGAGTGTAATGATTATGGGTTGGATGTGATGTTTTGTTTGTTGTGGCTAAAATAGCCTGTTTTGTCTTTTGTGGCTATTTTAGCCCCAACCCAACTTGCCAAACACCACCTTAATATTACTCTTGCTCAATTATAGTCAGTTAAATGAATTAAAGAACAACAATTTGTAAATTAAGAATAATGTGTATTTAAGTCATTTTTATGAATCTTTTCATTTGAAATAAATTAATATAGAATTGATACATCAATCTTTATAATTTTTATATTTATATATCATTATCTGTATCTAATGTAGTCTTAATTTTATCGATATTCATATTTGAAAAGTGAAATCTCATATTCTATTTTTGTTGATTTAATTGATTATAATTTATTCACCGTGACCAAATTTTTGATGTGGTGCTTTTTTTCCAGTTGGTTCTTATTATCATGGCATGGTCTAAGGTTTCTCTCTCTAATTATTATATTTAATAATTTTTTTAGGTGTTGAATTTTTTACAACTTTGTAGAGGGATCTTTCTATCTCCTCTGTCTCCCTGTCCCTTTCATATTTCAAACAAACCTGTTTGTTCTCCCTACTCCTTTTAGATCAAAAAGACCTATTGTATTATAGAGAGATGATATGTATGGGACATAAGGACAGTTGAGATAAAAGACCTTCTAATAACAGTATAATATAATTCTTTACAGTTTTGATAGAGAGCTTTAATAGAATTACTTTAAAAGTAACTCTAGTGAGTTTACATTAGACCCAAAAAAAAAAAGAAAAAAAAAGAGATAAAAGGCAAAATAAAAAGAGAAAAAAGATAATTTAATACTTTTTAAAAGTCTCAACCATTTTTCAATTCTTTATGAGGCTCATTTTCGTAGTTTCACTTTTATACTATTTAACCACACGTCTATATATACATTAATTGGAAAAAGATGGTTTTAAACTATCCAAAACGCATCCTATTGATTGCCATGATTGTAAAACTTATGGCTCTGCCAACCTCACTAGATCAGGTTTCAATTTCACTAACAAGTCATTTATAGAAGGTGAAGAAAAATAGAGAAATTGATTTGTCTATGTATAGAAGCAAACCTTTAGTAGAACATTTGTAAAAGTCACCAGGTTGACCATTGATGGTGTATGCAGTAGACACATTTGGAGCTGCCCCGGTTCTTGTGGCCGTCCTCACAACGTCAATGGGATTTGCATCCCACCATTCACCTAATCATCATCGTCACCACAATCATTTCACGAATCACACAACATCCTTTAATTTTCTAAATGACTTTTGTTAACGAGTGTCTTCAAGAGTACTAGTTAACAAATTTTTATTTTATTTTATTTTATTATTTTTTTTAAAGTTAACGAGTCATCCACTAGGAGATAAATGGTCAGTACCTAAGAGAAGGGCTGTTTCGCGCTTGGGCTTGGGGAATGGGTAGGAACAACCTTCTTTTGGGTGAATAATCAGAGCACCATAGACTGTGGCTCTTAGCCACGAGCTATGGGCATGCCACCACAGTGTCCCTTCCTGGCCTTGAATTGTGAACCGATAAGTGAAGCTCTTTCCAGGTCTAATTGGGCACTGAGTCACAAATTCTGGGCCGTCAGACCATGCTGTTCTCATTTGCCGAACACCATGCCTGAAGAAGAAGAAGAAGAAGAAGAAGAATAGAGTTAGTAAGTAGCATGGTTTTAAATAGTGGTATCAAGGCACGTAATAGTATCCCTCACATTGTAATAATATCGACAATATCAAACAATATATATATATATATATAAGGAATATGATGACAAAGCCCTGAATTTCTTAAAACCATAAAGAAACTCTCTAAAACTTAATGATATGTGTTTTAAAACTGACTACATATAGGAACATGAATACATGTCTCATGCATACAAGGTACCGCATGTATTCTACTTTTTTTTCTTCTCCTTTTAATTATGTCATTTAGGACCTGTTTTGATGCAGTTCTTTTATAAGTTAAAAAAATGGTAATCAAAAAGTGTAAATTAAAAACATTCATTTCTCTTTTTTAATTTATTTAAGTTATTCCTGTCAAATAAAATAAATTATACATTGATTTAAATATATATATATATATATATAAGCCGCTTAAGTTTTAAATAAACTGCTCCAAACAGGATTTTTGAATAGGAAGTTCAAGTGATTAACATGGTTTTATTTGTTAAAAAAAATAAATAAAATAAACTTGCATTATTATTATTACCAGTGAATGGTGAGATTGTATCGAGCTCTGTTGACGACCTTGATGACTAGAGTGTCACCATTGTTATTACCAGTGAATGGTGAGATTGTATCGAGCTCTGTTGACGACCTTGATGACTAGAGTGTCACCATTGTTAACTTCCAGTGTTGGACCAGGGTATTGCCCATTCACCGTGATGGTCTTGTGGGTTTTGCACAGCCTCTTCACTGGGGTTTCTTGAACCTGTTAATGCCACAAACATTTTAGTTCCCAAGTGGGAAAATGAAAGAAAATAGAGAAAGTAACTAAGGAAAAAGAAACAAAGTGTGTGTGAGAGAGAGAGAAGACATACAACAAAATCATGAAGGTGAGTTCTTGGCTCAGCTAACAAGGGCACTGCATTGCCAAAGAGAAGAAGCACAAGGCCTAGGAGGAAGAGATAGTATCTTGGCTTGGCAATGCTGTTGTTGAAGAAGGCTTCCATTGTTTACTAATGATAGATAAAAAAATGGTTTGAAACTTTGAAATGGTAAAGGTTATTTGTGAGAGTGAGAAAAAGAAAAGTTGTTTTTATAGAAGGAGAAAGAGGAGAGAGAGAGAGGGTGGTTCATGAGGTTGGCAAGATTAGGTTTTGATTCAGCAAGAGATGGTTAGATGAGAGGAGAGAGGAGCAAACTTAGTTCAAACCCTGTAAAAGTTGGTGCACCCACTAGCCTATCAAAAGGAGCCAATTCATTTCATCAATGCTTGTTTCACAAGTCTCCCTCCCCACTTTGGGTTGAATTGAATTTCAATGAAACTAGCTACGCCTCATTATTTTGAAGTTTTAATTAGTTTTGGCAGTAACTTGTGATATTTTAAATATTTAATTAATACTATAATCAATCATAATAATAATGATAATAATATATTTGAAACAAATCTTGATCCAAATAATAAAAATAAAATAAAATTTAAATTTAAAGAAAAAAAAAAGGTAGATTATCACCATCCTAATAAATAGGATGATGACCAAGCCATATAGCCTTGCTGAACCATCAAGTTTGATGAGGAGGGAATTGCCACTTGTTAGACAGGTGGCTAATACATTTAAGCAAATCACATGTGAGAAACCACCTATAAATAGTGTACGGTTGGAGAGCTCGAAAATGTAAGGTGATACGAATAACTAAGTTCAAGTTTGGCATGACCTAAATAATATAAAAAGTTAAAAAGTTATTATCCTATTTAAGTCACATCAACTTATTTAAATCACATCACCTCTCTAACACATCACATCAAATCCAACCCAAACCCAACCCATATAAGCCAATAAGTCAAAAAATGTACATTTTTAGAACATCCCAAACCAACCCTAAGAAGCATCGTGCTATTAGCATGGAGTTTGTAGTAGGAATGTGAAGGTTAAGGGGTGATATTAAGATGAGTTATTTTATATCTTGAATTATTATAATATATTTTAAATATATTTTGAGTTATTATAATTTATTTTATATAATTTATGTTTTATGGTTATGTTAATGTTTCAATTACGTGAATTATTTTTTGAACTTCAATTGCTTAAGTTTGGCATCTACTAAATAATACAAAAAGTCAAAAGTCACTATCCTATTTAAGTCACATCATCTTATTTAAATCACATCACCTCTCTAACACATCACATCAAACCCAACCCAAACTCAACCCATATAAGTCAATAAGTCAAAAAGTGCACTTTTTTAGAACATCCCAAACCAATCCGAATAGATATGTTTATTTAAATTTTAGAAATTTTTTGACAATGATTTTGTAACCAATTATTTTCAGTCAGTACCACCACGGGAGTCTCATGCCTTGGGGGACTTAAATAACCATTAGCCCCTGTTTGATCACTTCGTGGTCCCTAGTTTGTCATAGATCTATTGACCCCTGTTCTGATTGTCACTCCAGTAACTCCTGTTTTGTACTGTGGTTATAGTTATTTACGTAATTTTTATTTCAGTTCCTGCTACTTAAATAATTTATTTATGCAACTTAAATGTTTTAACTTATGGCTATTTGGTACCCCTATACTCACAGTATAATATTTCTCACTCTGCTATGTGCTTATAGCTGTTATCCCTTTCAGGTGACGAGGTTTAGCGGGATCAAGATGGGAAATGAATCGCTATGTTATTTATTTATTTTTTATTTCTTTTTTTAAGATTTCTATCTGTTTTTTTTTATCGGACTCTTGTAATACAATAAAACTTAAATGACTATGTTTTGTTTCCTTTTAATAAACATTTGGTACTCAATTAATTTATTTTAATTTATCCGCTTGAGCTACGACTACAAAATTTTTTAAATTATTTTATTTTTATCTTGTTACGACGCCGAACCTTTGGGTATCGGGTTTGGGTTGTAACAAAAATAATAGCAAACAAAATATTATTCTGTTTGGTTTTCATAACCTATTTGTTAAAATCATTAAAAATTAAGTTGGTAAAAAATTAAGGATTTTGTTAATGTGTATATATTCAAAAACTTTAAAATGTTGTGTATTCTGTATAAAAGTGATTGTAATAAAAACTAAAAACTATACAATCATTTTAAGTTATTTTATCAAGTACTCCAAGAGCATGGTTGGGTATGCAAAAAGCTATTTGTTGTTTACTAATGAATAGTGTCAAAATGTTTCATTTTAGCAATCTTGTTCCAATTTTGAACATTTCATACAAAATGTCAAATCAAAATACTATATATGGATCCTTAATGAAAGATACAAACAAAAGATTTTATTTATAGGTAAATATTGTGCTATATTTGATACAATGTTTATCTGTAGATAACATATAACAAGCCATATACCTTTTTCTTTTTCTTTTTTTTTATATCCAAACCATATACCTAAAATTAGAATGAAAACTCAGACGTTTCAAGGCAAAATGTAGCAATAGCAAGCCATATTGAAGAAGCTCTAAAAGGCATATGCAAACAAAATCTAAAAAATAATAAAAATTTTAAAAATACTAATCAGCTTGCTTTGTTTTTATTTTTCAAAAAATTCTACTTTCTTATTTTTCGTATTTTTTTTATTGAATTTTTTAAATATTTTAAGCAATTTTTTTTACTTTTTAGACACACCTAACATAAATACACCTAAAAATTGTAAAAAAAATATTTTAAAAATTCACTAAATACCAAAAATACAAAAAAATACAAGAATTTAGTATATTTTTTGTATTTTTATGTATTTATTAATTTTTTAAAATATTTTTTCACAAATTTTTACTTTTTAGATACATCTAACTAAGGTGCATCTAAAAAGGTAAAAAAAATGTTTAAAATTTAAAAAATATTCACTAAAAACAAAAAAAATAAGAAAATCAAAAAACTCAATTTTCAAAAAACTTAATTCAGAAAACTCAAACCAAACACACTGAATCATTTTAATATTGTTTTCCTTTTTTTGGTGCAAAAACAATTAAAAATTTTAAATCATTTTTTTGATATTTATTTTCACTAAACTAATTTTTATTGTTTTAGATGTATCTTCATGATTATTCTAAATTCAAAAGCTAAAAACTTCCACGTTTAATATTATAGTTCTATAATTTCAAAACTACAAACTCAAAAAGTTGTTCAGAATCTGAAATCAAAGATCTAAATAGATTTATAATGTAATCTTACAACAATAAAATTAAATATACCATTAATTTAAAATTCTTAGTAAATTTTGACATATTTTCTAAGTTTCGAGACTCTCTCTTTAAAAATCCCCCACTAGTAAACTTGTCATAGGCACTCTTTCATCTCTAGGTAAAGCAATTTTGATGGTGCGGGTAAATTTCAATTTTGGAGGGTACTTCCCCATGGAAAGGTCAGCTACCCTTTTTTCATTGAGAGTCATCACTACGCCATCAAATAGTCATCCTCACAATGCCCCCAAAATCTGTATGATTCATATGCAGATTAAAAGGTGGTACAGAATTCTCTTGTCCTCTCTATTTATAGTGTAAAACAAATCAAATTACTCGATTTTAACTTATTAAAAAACTATTTGAAATTGAGTCATTATTTATATGAGTTAAACACATTTTAAAATCGTTAAGTATTTAAATCAAACTTGTACAATCTACTATTCGATTCAATTTAATTCAATTTTTTTTTATCAATAAAAAAAAATTCTTTACTAATGAAAATCGATGTAAGTGAAATACTAAGACAAACATCGATAAAAGAGTCAAGTACACAAAGTATCAAAGCAAAACTAATCAATCCCCACTATGTTGGTACAAAAAAGTAAGCTCAATCATCTGCTAGTATTACACTAAGAGTTGGTGAGGAACTAACCGAAACAAAATAAAACCCAAAAAAATGAGAAAAACAGCCAAAGGGAACCAAATGTGAAGACTAGGGGTGAGCAGCGGATATATCGATCCGCCAAAACCGACCGAACCGAACCGATCCGCCGCATTTTGGACGGATGCGTGATGACGAGCGGACGGTTGCGGATTGATTTTCTCAAATCCGCCAATTTGGCGGACGGATGGCGGATTTGAGATTTTTTGGCCGCAACCGAACCGCCAAACCGCCAAATCGCGAGCACCCCCAGTAATTTATAAGACTTTGTATTTTCAATTTGTTTAAATATTTTGTTTGTGTTTTCAATTGAAAAAGAGTTTAAATATTCTGTTGAAAAAAAATTTTCAACTAGAATATATTTTTTGAATTGAAAAAAATAAACGTATTATTCATATATATTTTTTAGTTTTTAAATGTAACTCTAAAAATAATAAATAGAAAATATGATATATGCTGGTTGGTTTTTGTTTTCAAAAACATATGTAGATGTAACAATACAGAGACATTCAATCTCTACTACTGCTCTGTTCATCGTTTTGATGGTTTGAATTGTTATTATATTTTAAGAATCACAGATTGTAATACTTTATGGGGATGAATCAATGCTGTGATTATAATATATGGATGAGACATGCAGTGATCGTGATATTCTAAAGTTTCAAATTTTTTTTCTTTGGATAAGGCATACAGTGATTGTAATACTTTTTTAAGTCATTGACTGTACTACTTTCTTTTTCTTTTTTTTTGTTCAAGGAAGTGCACAAGTTGAATTATGTTGAAAATTTATATAATTTTAAACCGCCAAACCGATTCGCATCCATCCACCAAATCGCCAATCCGCTCAATCCACATCCGCCGGATTGGCGGACGGATGCGGATTGATTTTCTTCAATCCACCAATCTGACGGACGGATGGCGGATTGGAGGTTCCGTGACCGCAACCGACCCGCGCCCACCCCTAGTGAAGACACAACCCCAAATCACCTTACGTTGGTACACCAAAATCGCCTGCATTACATTAGGCTTCACTTGTGTAAATTAGCAAGCAGAGGATCAAAGGCTCCACCAGCAGCGACAATGACAGACAAGGGCACTGCCAACAGTCTATCTCAAACTATGCCAAGATTGCTCTGAAAATCTGCCAAAAACACCGACACTCAAACCTAAATACACTCCTCGATCTAACTTGATTACATAACTATATATATCGAGATGAGTACTTTTAACTCAAAAGTTACACTCATTTTTCAAACTCAATGTTGTGACAACTTAATAAAATATCTAAGATAATTCTCTCTCACATGCCTTTTTTAATTATCAATTAATCATCTCTTCTATAA